GCGAGGATTGTCAGGAATAGACTCGCTTTGCCGCTATTGGTATCACCAACGAGGCTAGGCAACCCGGTCCTTGTGCCATTTCTGGTTGAAGTTCAGTAGTCGCAGGAAGTCCTCGCAGAATTCACAAATGCATAAGGGCAGTATGGATGAAAAGGGGCTGGAATGAGACAAGAGTGCCGCACTTATTTTTCATCCCGATCCCTTCTAGTCTGTAATGTCTCGCCTCATAATCCAGACCTCATTCTGAGAGAAAAACAGATTGCCGACAGTCTAGTAATATGTCAAGAAGATCACCACTACTTCATCACCAATATGATCAAAGATTCTTTTGATACAATATTACTGTTTTAGCATCAACTGATTAAGAGTGGTAGTATTGATCCAAATAAATATCAGCTGATGACCCATCACCTGTTAGAAAAAAATTCAAGGCTACAATATTATTATAGAAATTGAGCCCATTGCCTCAACGATACAAATGTAGTGCTCTAGCAACTGAACTATAAAGTCCTGATACACTGAGAGTAAGTGAACTATGGGTTCAGGAAACAGGCAGGACATTAGTATGATCATGTGATCAATCTGGCTGGAAAACAACAATCATATGCCAATAATTTCATTCTATAAGTGTTGACTCCAAACAATTAGAGATTGAAAGCGTTGCAAGGTTAAGCCTCTCTAAGAATTTTTGTTTCAAAACCAAGTTATGGCATTGATCACTCATGTTCTAATTTGTGTTTTCTGCATATTATACATACCATCATATAGGACCACAGGTTCTGAGTGTACTTGTGCATTCTTTGCCTTAAGAGGTTCATTCAGTTTATAACAAGATGGATGTTTCTTCATGGTCACTTTCAGTCCCTGAAAAATGATAGTGTAGTCAACTGCATTATTCAACAAAAGAATACCAGGACTGGGGTTGTCAATATGTCAGTCAACGATATCTCATGAAACAACTCAAAACAATTTACAGAGACCATGCAATTCTTGGTAGCAGACTTGATATGCAAACATAATACATTCCACTGTTTAATACACCTTCCAGATGAAGCTACAAATATGTTATATCAGGTCATATAATTTGTTATATCAAAACTATTAGCAGAGTATCCAAACCTTTAATGTTTTCCTGTCTGCCATTTTCTTGATATCATTGCCACCCCAAAGTGCTCCACTTGGTATGTAAATGCCATGAGTACCATTGGAAGCCTTCTGTCTCAGCTTGTTTTCAACATCCAAGTTTGCCAAGGCAGTTGGTGAACCAATCTACCAGAACAAGGCATCCAAAATGAGCCATTCATACCAGCCTGATAACTTTTAAATGAGCCATTTATACTGTGAGCCTGATACGCAAGTGGATATTAATTGTAAATTCTGTCAGTGGAGTAGCACAAAAAAGTAAATATAGCATGACTTTCTTTTTTGTCTCCAGAGACAGTCCAGGTAGTTGACAACAACTTTTTTTCACATTTAAACTGACATGTCCCATTAGAGAAAAATTCCACCAGAAGTTCTAAGAAGGATTTCACCACATGTTCTACTAACAAGTAGACAAAAACTTTGTACTGAGATTATTTACGTCCTATTGCAAACTTCTGTTCGACTATTTTATCTTCTCCAAAAAAAAAAATTCATTTCTAACAACACCAAATGTCAAAAACAAATTTTGAACTTCATATGAAACACTTAAAAGTACTGGTGAAATGAAACTGATAATGAAATTTACCTATTTTGACACAATTTCTCTGAACTTTGAAATTTATTTTCCCGTGTTACTTAGTGTTATTTCAGGCAACTATTTGATATATCTTTAGCTTTACAAAAAAAGTAAAAAGGACTCTAAAATACCTAAAATTATTCTGGTACAAGGTTTTTGTCCAGATTTCATTTTCCTGTCACATACCATGTAATCAGCAACATCAAGGAAAACTTCACCATAATCCACAGTTATTGAAGGATGTGCAACTTCTACAATCAAATCTGGAGCCCTGTATAAACATTGGACCCCAAGGTCCAAGGAAACCTCTAGTACCTTTGTTTCAATCAATACTAACTTTAACTAGACTGTGAACAGGTACCCTAGTCAGGTACAAGGCCAAACAAATTGGCAACAGAAGGTGAGCAGGGCTGAATCCAGAAAATTCAAAAAGAGGGGGTCATAAATATATATTTTTTATTTGTATTTCCGAGTTTTACAATTAACTAACAGATATCCTGTGTTATGATAGATTAAGCATCTTGGTTAAGTGAAATTAATATGGTTGACACTTCAACTTTGGAACAATAATTTAAGCTGTTGAAAATGACATCACTGTCTAAATACAATTTAGGTACCTTTCTGCAAATGATGACAGAGTTTCCAAAATATAACGATCCTCTACTTTGCCCCTGATTACTTCCAAAGTTCTGTTCCAAACAAAACTAAGCTCTAGATCATTTCTTTGAAGTATTTCTTCTACTAAGTATTGTCCTGAAAATAGAGTATGTCAGCATTTTATATTGTATGCAGACTATACCTCACAAACTTTCAATCATAAGCCCACCAAAAAATAAGCCCTCCAGAACCTAAACCTCCAAATCTCAGACCCAAAATTCTTTCCTACAAGATGCATTCCTCTCATTAAGCCCATGGGCTAATATCAATGATCCCACTTGAGAAAAAGTTGAGCTTTTACAAACATCAATCATCTTTGCCTCTTTGCTAAAAGCTACAGGTTTGTACTTGTAAAAAAGATCACTTGAGACAACTCAGTTGTCTCTAAACTTGACAATATATAAAACATCCAGTGAACTACGGTGACCTCACAAAAACATACAGTCAACCATAAGTGGTTAACACTTTTGTTCTATCTGTAAACGGATTTCTTCCATTAATTGGTTTTAAAAATGTCTTAATTGTTCCCAGATGACTGCATATCCCCATGAATTTCAGGAAAAATTCTGGAATCTTATGTTAAAGTCAATCCACTCAATAAAACGTAAAAGCATTTATTCAGTCAATGAAGAAAATCATATGCAAATGATGTCCTGTTTTAAGTGTTAAAGAGCCTTTTGCTAGTCTAGACCTCAACAGCACATTCCTTCCAATCCCTCCCCCCTCAATATAAACATAGGCACGCAAGGCGTGCAAGAGTTAGTTTTTTTGTGTGAAGTGTTGGAGATAGGAGCATTCATGGAGCTGTTTACAGTAACGATTTGATTAATTTGACAAGTTTTTTTGGTTGTGATATACAGCAAGAAACAAACTGGGAATTTATGATGTATATGCGATGTTACATCCTTCATGGTAAGATAGCTAAATAGTAACCCATAAAATGTTTGACTGAACAAACTAAAGTAATCTGACACGTCTCCAGATTAATGTAGATACCATCTTATTNTCACTCACTCACTCACTCACTCACTCACCAATTGACCCATCCATAACATACCTGACGCGCCGACTAAGAGGTATTTTTATACAAAAAAATAACTCAAAAAGGATAAGGGTGCTCATTGGAAATTTTGAAAATAATCCCTAAGAGGTTACAAAATCCTGTTTTGATTGTGTGGCTTGACTTTTTTTTCACCCCCGAGAGGTACTTTTTCTAAAACAACACATTATCTCTTGTTATATTTTTTTGCCCCAATACCCTAAAAGGAACCACAAAGGCTCCCACTGTGCACCTTTTGAGGCTGAACACCCTAAGAGGTACCAAAATCCCATTAATAACCCTAAAAGGTACGATGACCCCACCCCCACCCCCCTCCGCCCGGCCTTTTTACAAGGGACTTCATCCCCCTTCGATCCTGGGCTCAACCCCCCCAACCGATTTTTTTGGGTTATTTTATGCCAACAATCTAAACCAAATTAAAATACAGTGTTTATAAAAACAACCATGGACTTGCAGAGACATAACAAATTATACCATAGAGTTGCCCCAATTTTGCAGACAGACGTTTGTGTGACCCGCGTGACCACTTTTCTGGACGGAAGGGAAGCGAAAGATACACACCCCAATAATTAAACTATGAATCAATTTTCTTTTAAAGAACCTTCAAAACTGAAACAAACTGTTAGTATGGAGTTAGCTGGAAATTAACCTGGCCAGTAGATCTTACATTGATCTTGGAAGTTATACGGCGCGATCACGCGAGCAAGAGTAGACCAGAGTACGGTAGTCTGCCTCGTCACATGGCATGACTTCTACAGGAAATATTAACAAATATCTTAAAAATATCTCACCTAAGTGTCCATATCCTACAACTCCAACTTTTCGTCTTTTCCCGTTTTCATTATTCATGTTGTTCGGTGCCTTTATTAACTACTAATACAGAGCGAACTGAGCCAGAGGGACAGAGCGCGAGGAGAACGCCGGTTCGTGGCATTCTCACATGAAGTATATACTACCGATTCAGCAGTGTTTTGAGCCACTGTTCTAATGTCCAGCGGAAGCGTTGTCAATAGCAACATTATCAATCACGATTTCAACCTCCATCTTGACGAGCTTTCCAGTTTGGTACAATTTCTGAGAGAATATGCCTCCAAAGAAAAAGAAATCAGGCAAGAAAAAACTTGCGAAGATGACTGAAGAAGAGAAGCTTCTGTACATGGAGCAGAAACGGTTAGCAGAAGAAGAAATGAAGAAGAAAAAAGAAGATATGTTGACACAGTTTTTGAAGGTACGTTGTGGACTTGTGATCAGCTGGATAACCTTATCAATATTGAAACACGATATTTAAACTAAGTTTCAAGATAAAGCTGTTCAATTTTGTGTAGTGAATATTGTCAACTGCACATTTTTCAGCTCCTCCCATTTTAAGCTAAATCATTGGCCTTGAAGTAGGGCCTAAGATTGGATTGTAAATAACAAATTTATTATCCCAAATCAAGTTGTCTGTTGCTATAAGAGGGTCCCCTATACCTCTTCTGAAAACAGTTTCACGCAAAAGTAATTGGCCTTTTCACGCATCACGNGCTTTTTGTGCCCGAAATGTCAAACGCATGCATGCGCCACATTTGAACTGAATGGCGTTAATTGAATTGTTTTGAAAGCAATAACGTAAAGAAAAAAATAAACACATTGTATTTGAGTCTTGAGTCCTACCATCGGCCTGTGGCCTTAGGCCGTACTCAAGACCTTGAGCACTGTTGTTCTAAATACAGACCTCCTGTCTGGCAAATAACATGTATAAACTGAGGGATGGTCCATTGGATTGGATAGTCTACACTTGGGTTATAAAAGTTGTTACTGAAGGTTAAAGTGCTAAACCACAGATTTGCATAAGCATTTATATAACTGCATGAGGGTAGAATATTTTGTTCAAAGGGTGCTTAGGGTGCTTAGTTGGTTAACCTCTTGCTAAAATAACTTACATTACTCTTTGAACTTGTTTCATATTAAATATGATGGTAAATTTGCTTTCAAATTACTAATATATGTATGTATGTATAATTAATATGTGCAACAACACACAACATGTTTGTTTTGCTTCTGGTGTATGAATGTTCTACACCTTGTCCATATAAAAAGTCTTGCATTTTTACAATATAACATTGTGTGGCTCCAGAAAATATCCATACATGCCCAACCCAAGGAGGGTTATTGGAAAGTGCAAGAGAGAGGGTGGGTCTCTAAAGCCGGATATTTAATGTTTAAAAGAAAAGTATGAATTTCCAGAGGGACTGGGGGGAGGAAGGGGGTTCAAATTAAAAAAACACTTAGTGGGAACAACACATTTGCCATTACCCTGGCTACCATTTGTTAATTTGGATTCCATCTATTTCTTTCACAGCTAAATCCCAGGAGTTGAAGAAGGATATAGAGATACTGAGTCAGACATTTGAACGGGTAATAGATAGAAAAGAAGCTATAATCAAGTCTTTGGTTAAGGATATTGAAGAAGCTGAGGAGCAATACCAAATGGCACTCAGAAGTCACTTACAAAATGTTGATAGGCTAATAGGTAAATGTATGCACATGGATAAAATGGCTCTTAATAAATATTTATCAAGTACATTGGTAACTTATATCTTATTATACATAATTTGTAGCTTGGCCCCTGTGACATGATAGAGATATAAAGTAATGTATACCTAGCTACATATATTTATATACAGTTACTGTAAAGAGAAAAAAAATAGCAACAAAAAACATTGACAGGTGGACAGAAGCCACCAGAAATTTATAAGAGAAAAACAGATCCAATTACGAAAACCCTTTTAAAAATGTCTATCACTGATTGCAGCACTGAAAGTAGTATTTTCAAGCATAGCAGTGAAGTCAGTTCTTAAAATTCTCACATATTGTACAGGTGCAGAAAATATTCTTACTCAGGGATGGGTGGTCAGGGAGGGGGGGGGGGGAAGACAATGCATTCAATTTGTTGCATGCACTTTTTGAATGTATTAGCCAGGACTAGTATTTTCCCCTCTGATGGTTTTATCTAACAATTTGTCTAGACTGAGATATCTTTGAATAGTATCAGACCGATTACTATAATAATGTTAGCATTTACACCGGATTACCCGATGTGGTTAGATTTGCCTTGTACACTAAAATAGTCATTTCTCATAATACATAGATTTAGGCCACTCTGCCTAAAAGCGAAGCTCCTGGGCCGGGTTGTTCAGAGCC